GGGCACCGCCAGGGGATCCCCCCCCCCCTCCCCTATCCTCCAGCACTGACTGGCGGAACGGACGGGGGAGGGGGCGGGCACAGTTGCCTCAGCCTTTAGATAGGCAGAGCCAGCTGTCAATCCCGCAGCTGGGTGGATCCAGACAGTAATGTCGGGATCCGTCCCGGCTGTGGCGTCTCAATATACCGCGAGCTGTAGCTCGCACTATACCGAGCTTAGCGTGACGGGAGGACGCTAGTTTGTGTAGGAGAAATATGGGGAAAAGCCCTGACCCCATAGTTCTCCTTTAACATACTCAATATTTGTGCTTTGTCTCTGCTTGTACAATGTGTTATTTTCAATTACATATTGCATACTGTATAAGTTTTAAAAATGTAATAAATATTTTGACACCAAAATAAAAAGTCATAGCCATACATATGTCAACCACCATAATTTATTAAAACTTTGTAAAAAAAAAATGTAAAGAAAGTACATCATACGTAGACCATTTGTATCGAGATCATTTCATTTTATCAGCAAATCAATCATTATGTTTAATGGTCACCTGACATGGGTAAACATTTTGGCTTAATGCAATTTAGGAATTTCATCATACCTTCCAGCTTTTTAATATTGAGACAACATAAGTCCTCTCCCTGGGCTTCCCTGAGCTACACAAAGTCCTCTCCAGTTCAAATATATTTGGGCAAAGCCATGCCAGTGTTTGAGCAGAGTCCCATAAAACTAGACTACCCCGCAAATTAAGTATGTAGAGTATATAAAGATTTAGTCCCACCCTGAACAATCTGAGTTTCTACAACACTCAGGAGCTACTACTCCTAATATGACCTGTCAGATGCTAAATGACAGGGTATGCTAGCCAATCATCATTAAAGAATAGCCGCTAACAGCAAATTGCAAGCAATCCATGTAGATACTGTAAATGATGATATGTCCGTGATCTGCATTGAGATAAGAGGTCATTTGAGATTCTTTTTGTGAAAATATTGCACCGGCTGATATGCACCTTCTTGGTATGGAATAAGTCAATATTTTATGCTACCGATTCCAATGGATACAGAATGTCTTGACACTGGGGTCAGCCACAATCAGGAGTGTTGTATATTGCCTGCACTGGATATATACAGTACTTTATATACTGTACTTCATTTCCAATGGTTCCAGTGCTGTTTTCACATTTCTGGATAACATGCATAGCTGGCCACACCACACATATTTCCCCGGTTTCTGGCAATTCGGACATACCCTTGATCTCCGTACATTTCCCCCCAGCTGAAAGAGAAGGACAAAGTTGAGTACTTGCACATTATAGGTCTTCAATACAAAATGTACAGGTTGTTTCATTTATAGCTCTGAAGAACAAACATGCATATGGAAATGTTCAGTCTGTGGAACTGGAAACTATGTGGTAGCACTGGGCCAGTAGGAATTGGTTTTGAGGTAAATCTGATGTACTCCTTGCAGGAGGTAAACCCATGATAACAATATGTGTGTAGTGTGTGGAATTGGTTATGGTCGTAGGCAGGTGCCTGAGCCTCTCTGATCACAGTGGGGGGATCGCTTACCAGAAGCTCAAATTCTGGATGTGGGCTTAGTTAAAAAAAAAAATGGTCATCTCGCTTGAAGGTTCGTTTGAGTTATTTATTTGAATGGAAATGTCAGATACAGGCAATGCATTTTGGGGGAATTGGACCCCTTCCTTTTTCAGTGCTGGATCTTCTAATTGCTGGTCCTCACTGCAAACAGGTCACCTGAACATTCAGTGCTAATCCAGCCCTAATGCAGGCTACAAAGTACAGCTCTTCCTGATTCCATTACGTATTTTTGCTCAAACCCTGAAGAACGAGCCCATTTCCCATTTCCCCATAAACAAATTGGCTTTATCTGACCTTTCCATTCCTATACACAACTCATATGAGCCTTCAAGCGAGAGTTTTTTAAGTGGTGCTCCTAACCACACATCCAAGATTTGATCTATGTTCTCAAGGCCTAACAACCTGTTGTGGAACCTTCTTGCAGTGTTCAGCAGAGACAGTGTGAGACTTTGGCTAATGTTTTGCTTGAAAACCTTGGGTCCTGCCATTCATATGGATGGTAGTTTGACACATAACACCTACCTAAACATTGTTGCTGACCAAGTACAGACCTTCATGGGAATGGTATTCCATGATGGTAGTGACCTCTTTCAGCAGAATAATGCGCCCTGACACACTGCAAAAATGGTTCAAGAATGGTTTAAGGAACGAGTTAGAGGTGTTGACTTGGCCTCCAAATTCTCCAGATCTCATTCCAATGTGTGGGATGTGCTGGAAAAACAAATCTGGCCCATGGAGGCCCCACCTCACAACTTACAGGACTTAAAAGATCTGCTACTGATGACTTGGTGCCAGATACCACAGCATACCTTCAGAGGTCTAGTGGAGTCTATCCCTCGATGGATCTGGGCTGTTTTGGTGGCAAAAAGGGGATCTACTCAATATTAGGTAGGTGGTCATAATGTTATGGCAGATCGGTGTATATCGAGGTTCTTTGAAGGTACAGCAACAACTGAAAGTTCTACACTTACCCAGCACAACTGAAGACCTCTCATATGCACACTAAAACAAATCTTTTTTTTTACTAACATGCCTACCAGCAAACTACTAAACCAGTTCTACAACATTCCATATGCCATTATTATTATACTGAGAAACAAATAATATTGATGTTAAAGGAGAATTATGAGGTGAGTGATTTTCACTCAGCCTCATAATCTGAGCCGACCTGTGACAATGAAACTGTCACAGGTAGGCTCAGTAGATCGGAAAGTGAGCGAACACATACCGGCGCTCGCTCACTTCTCGTTCCTGTGCCGGCAGAGAGCCGTGACAGGGGAGGGACTGGATTCCCCCCTCCCCTGTCCGATCCTGCAGCGCTGACTGGCGGAACGGATGGGGGAGGGGACGGGTACAGCTGGCTCTGCCTCTAGATAGGCAGAGCCACCTGTCCCTCTCGCAGCTGGGTGGATCCAGACATAATTGTCGGGATCCGTTCCCGCTGCGGCGTCTCAGTATACCGCGAGCTGTAGCTCGCGGTATACTGAGCTTTGGGTGACGGGAGGGCGCTAGTTTGTGTCCTCCCGTTACCCTTAGGAGAACTATGGGGAAAAGCCCTAACCCCATAGTTCTCCTTTAACTATGTTTTGTATTATATTTATGCTAAAGGGTGATAGCGTTACTAAGCTGCACACTGTCCCTCATTTACCATGTGAACATGCCAATTCAGGAGCTGTTCACATTGATTCAAAACATAATGGTTAGGTTTTACTTATTATTAAATGTCAACGCAAAGTACTTATAATGGTCCTTTGTATAATAACAGGTTCACTTACTAGAAAAATGTTATTAGAATGTTAAAATGTTAAAAAATGTTAAAAAAGTTTCCTTGTTCTTCAGTGATGTATTTGAGAGTCTGGAGGTCAGTCAAGCAGTTAAGGTGTTCTGAGATAGCAGAAATAATTGTCACTAGTGATTAATTATGTGCTGCTCGTGCAAACTTTTAAGGGAAGGATTTAATATGTCAAATGTTTTTTATTTAGGAGGGTCCTACATGCCAACTGTCCAGGATTAGAACTTTAAAACCTCCGATATTTGTTCATAAGGCTTGATTCCTGGTATACCCACCATGTCTAATGATCTCAGTGTGCATTATTTTCTCTACTTTTCAATCATTACTTTTATTTTGTAATTCTTCCCTTTTAAACAAAATAATGCGCAAGGAAAATTAAAAAAACAGTATTTTTCATGTACATGACTGGATGAGGGAAGTCAGCAGAGCTTCAGCTCATTTGCTAAGCAAAGGGAAAAGTCTCTTGCAAAGTGAATGAACCCCTATGTCTCCTTTTGGACACCAAATGTGGAAGCAGTCTTACCTATTTTTAAGTAGCCAGAAGTCCTTTCCTCCAAGGTTCCCATACCCTACAGCAAGAACGCCATGGTTCACGTCTTGAGAGCAAGATGGATCATCGTAGACACCTGTGGAGAACACACTCTGTAATAAAATTCATCTATACAAAGGTTTCCTACACTACTTAAAGATTTAAAGGAGAACTATGAGGTAAGTGTTTTTCCCCATAGTTCTCCTAAGGGTCACAGGAGGACATAAACTAGCGTCCTCCCGTGACCCAAAGCTCAGTATATTGCAAGCTACAGCTCGGGGTATACTGAGACCGCTGCAGATGGGACGGATCGCGACATTACTGTCAAGACCCACCCAGCTGCGTGAGTGATAGCACTGGCGGAACTACCAGGGTTGCAGCAGTCGCATTTGCGACCGGGCCCTGGTGTTCCGCCACTTGGGGGGGCCCTGAAAGGCAGAAGAGGGCCCCGCACCGACATTTTGAGAAAAAGATCGGCGTGACCTGCTGACGGGGAAACAGGTCCTCTTGAGTGACAGACTGAGCAGCCAGTGACATTTCGCCGTGAGGTGAGAGAGGGGTGTGGGCGTGGCCTGCCCGTGTTCTAGTGGTGTGGAGTGTGGGAGGGGTTTCTGATGTTGTGGGCGTGCCCTAGGCTGCAATGTCGGGAAATTTGAATGATGAGAGCAGCCGTGTCTGATCGTGACAGTAGAATTGTGGGCCCGCAGCAGAGGAGGAATCTTTCCCAGTGGTCACATCAATCTGTGGACATCAGACATCCTCAGGTCGGTGGCTGCACTGCTGGAGCATCTTCATTTTACAGTAAGTGCATACAGAATGTTTGGGGAATTTATCAAAACTGGAGCTGACCGAATCTGGAGCAGTTGCCCATGGCAACCAATCAGCTTCTATCTTCAGTTTGTTCAATTAAGCTTTGAAAATTAAAGAGAGAAGCTGATTGGTTACTATGGACAACCGCTCCAGATTCTGTCTGCTCCAGTTTTGATCAATTCCCTGTGTAATTTTTTTCTTGGAGACAACTGGGTCACCCTATTGTATTTCATACGTCTTCTACGTGATTTTCATACACATCACTGGCAGAATTACCAGCGATGCAGAGGTCACATGATTGACTGGGTCCTGTCGTTCTGTCGCTTGTAGGAGGGGGAGAAGAAAGGAAGAAGAGGGCCCGCCACAAGTACCGCCGAGGTGCGCAACATTGCCTCGCCAGGGGGCCCTTCATGGCTTCTTGCACCGGGGGCCCTGAGCTTCCTAGTTACACCTCTGAGTGACAGCTGGCTCTGCCTATCTAGAGGCAGAGCCAGCTATGCCCGCCCCCTCCCCAGTCTGTTCCGCCAGTCAGTGCTGGAGGATTGGAGCGGGGAGGGGGGAATCCATGCAGGGAGCCTTGACTGATAGTCACGGCTCTCTGCAGGGAGATGATTGAGACGTGAGCGAGCGACGGTATGTGTTCGCTCACTTCCCAATCTATTGAGCCGACGTGTGACAGTTTCATTGACACACATTGGCTCGAACTATGAAGTTGAGTGAAAATCACTCACCTCATAGTTCTCTTTTAAAGATATCTTCACATTTCAGCAATAGGTCAGAATTTACATCTGTGGGTTATTTTTACAGCTTTGCATTGGTATGGTGATATATAACTTTCAAGCTACATTGTATGATGTGGATGGTAAGGGTCCATGCACATCCTGGGAGCACCTGACAATGATGGAGGGCAATGGCTGCCAGTGGGGAACTACTGCAAAGCTTACTTTTTCTACAACCTGGAGTTCAGCTTTAACAGGAAGGAGGGTGGGGACTTACCACTTTTATACAGGTAGAAGGAAGGATGTCTTGCATCGATTGCTACTGATACTGGTCCGACAGTACCTATGGCTTGTTTCAGATTATCCTCACCAGAGGTAACTTCATGATACTTCAAGCATGAGGAAGCTTTGCTGGATGGGTTATAGACACAATTTCCATCCTTTAAAGGGATAACAAAAGAAAAATTCCAGTAGGTAGATGTCTCGCATAAGATCCAGAATTTTCAGATACAGCCCTGTTATGGTCATTAAGGACCTACTTACCATGGCATGATAAGGATATGCCTGGTCAGAATCAATGCCATTGTTATCAATCACATATTGAAAAGCTCCTGTCATAAAACCACCATTGCAGCCATGGTTTCCATATTTAGTAGAACAATCAACAAGGTTCTGAGGACTGAGGGAGACCAGCTTTCCTGTCTTCAGCATTAGTTGCCCCTCCAAAGCACCAACAGCACTGAATGCCCAGCATGATCCACATGAGCCCTGCAATGAAATAATGTATTAATTTCTTCCCAGTAGATGAAAGAGATAATATCCGTTTTCATCAATGTTGGGCATTTCCCTAGACTGTAGACCCTCCAAACCACCAAGAGCACCGAATGCCTAGCAGGGTCCACAGGAGTCCTGAAATTAAAGAATGTACTAATCTCTTCTTCCCACTATAACACATACATTGTAGATAATATCAGTTTACATCAACGTTAGGCAACCTCAGATTGTAGACCCTCCAAAGCCCCAAAAGCACTGAATGCCCAGCAGGATCCACAAGAGCCCTGCAATGATAGTGTTTATTCATTTTTTCTTCCTGCTACAAAACCTAGGTGATATCAGTTGATGTCGAAGTTGGGCAACCCCCTAGATTGTAGACCCTCCAAACCACCAACAGTACTCAATGACCATCAGGATCCACAGGAGCCCTGCAATGATTCCAGTGTTGGGCAACCCCCTAGATTGCAGACCTGTTTTCTTTCAAAATGACCCTACATTATAGAATTTTGTATTTGCTGACCAGTTAATGCAACGGAAAGAATCTGCTCTCAGTTTTACTACAGGTCAATTTACAGTTGGTTTGGGATTTCCTTTGTGGTGCAATGAGACTCTAATGCTGACCAATTAATGCAACCGAAAGAATCTGCTCTCAGTTTTACTACAGGTCAATTTGCAGTTGGTTTGGGATTTCCTTTGTGGTACAATGAGACTCTAATGCTGGCCTTATAAGGTATGATAAATGGATAATTATAAATTCAACTATTTAAAAAATATATTTTGCTTGATATCAACAACATAAAAAAACTGTATATGTATACATGCTGTATGTTTGTTTTGACTTATCTCTGCTGCAAGACCCATAGGTGTCTCTGGACCTACTTTTGATTTGTATGGATATTTTTGTGGATGAGCACCCAGGCATTTACTTTACAAATAGAGTGCAGTGGCTACCCCTGAGACTATATATACAGTATGTATGTAATATATTTATAATTATATATGTAACAACCTTTGAAAACCATCCTACTCTTGACTATATTCTAAAATTTAACAACTTTAAAAACACAACCGAGCCCCTC